GGAGGTAGAGAAATACTTAAGAAGAAGCCAAGCTCACATACCAACAGAACTCCTGGTGTCTGTGCCAGACGCCTGAACCTCTGCAGTAGTGAACTGACTGGATGCAACAGTTGTCGTCACCGTAGTTGTTGTCGTTGTTGATGTGGATGTTGTGGTAGTTGGGACTGTAGTTGTTGTGGGTGGTGATGATACACTAGCTACAGACATCTGCCCAATAGTGGAGTCATACGTCCAGGTAAAAAACTCAGTGCTTTCAGCGGTTGGTGATTCTTCTGATTTGGTGACAGACACAGAGCTGCTTTCTGAGTCCAGCTTGACATCGTCTCTCACAATTTGAGCAGAAGCCGTTTCTGTCTCCATCTTACCAATGCTTCCTTCTTCTTCCCCCAAACCAATCCCTGTGACTCTGCCTCCTGATTTGGTGACAGACACAGAGCTTCTTTCTGAGTCCAGCTTGACATCCTCTCTCACAACTTGAACAAAAGTCGTTTCTGTCTCCATCTTGCCAGAGCCTGCTTCATCTTCCCTCAAACCAAACCCTGTAACTCTACCTCCTGGGATTATAACATGTCCAGAATCTGTTGTATTGGCTTCCTGGGTAACAATTGCTGAGGTAGTTACCGTCGACATTATGGTGGTTGTTGATGTGGAAGTTGTCATGAAGGCAAAAGATGTTGATACGGTCGAAATGGTCTCAGCAGCTACACTTCCACTGCTGAAAGGGTAAATGTCCATGCTGCTGCTATATGGTGCATTGTGAAATGAGGACTCAGAAACAGTATGCGTGCCCTCCATTGATCCAGCCTGACGAAGTAGATTATCTAAATCTTTTTGACTTTTATCAGTGAAACTTGATTCAAAATCTTCCGGTATTTGCTCTTTCTCACTGACTGTGTCCCTTTCAACCCCTCTCTCAACAATCTCATGACTACCAGTAGGGACAACTGTTTCTGTAACTCTCTGTGAATTTTCTTCACTACTTGCTCTTCTAACACTCACAATATTGAAACTTTCAGCTGACGCTTGTACTGTATCTGGAAGAAATCTCAAGTTTACAGTATTGCTTCCCTCCTGCTCAGCTTTCATGTCACTAGAACTTATAGAAGAAATTGTCAGATCTTGGCTTTGACCAGCTGCTGTCATGTCAACATTTAATCCTAGATCACCAGACACAGGACTTTGGCAGGAAACCTGAACATCAATGTTGCTCCCCACTGCTCTATTCTCAACACTGTCCTGATGTCTAGTTTCAGAATCCCCTTCAAGGATCTGTTCTGCTGATGGAAGATCGCCAAAACAATCTCCTTCACATCCTGTCTCGACCTTTTCACCCTCAACAATTTGTATTTCTCCACTGATTGTGTTAAAAGTCACAGTCTTTTCTTCTACACCGACAAGAGTTGGCGAGCATGTTTCTGTTGCATTATCTTCAGAATATGAATCTTCATTCCACAGTTCTAGAGCAATGTTCTGGGCCACTAAATTTTGAGAACAATCCACTTTCGAATCTATGATGTTGTCATAATCTAATAACCTAACTTTTATTTGGTCTTCCCTGTCAGAGTCACAAGTCTGTATGATTTCAATATAATGCATGGCATTTTCATCCCCAGTGGATATGTCTTCTCCATTGATTCCATCGATCTCCTTATTTTGGCTGTCATCAATGTTTTGACACATTGCATTTCCATCTTCTTTCTGAATACTGGTTTTCTCCTGACTGCAGATAGGATCAGTTGATGAATCAACAGAATCTAGTTGATAGACATTTCCTTGAAGTTCTTGTGAACCACTATTATTCTCAATTTCTACATTTTTATGCTCATCATATTCTCTTGCCTCATTGTTTCCATTATTAGTATCTTGCACATTGTCCAGGTCTGGTAACATCATTTCACTTAAAGTGAAAGCTACAATATTTATATCCTCACCCTGAACTTTCTCCTCTACTGTTCGATTCTTTTTAGAAACATCTTTTTTCTCTGTCTTGAGGTTTAACTTGGTTGGCAGCAAATCCTGTGATTCAGACTGACTAGCTTCTAAATTTTCCTTTGGTGTTTCATGCCTTTCCTCCACAAACCCAGTTTCCCTTTCAAGCTCAACACAAGGACATACCTCTCTCTCCTCAACTTGAAGAGAGCGAGCAATATTTAGAGCGACAAGGTTATTTGTGTAGCTGCGTAGCTCAGCAGAGTGGTTGGAAGCCATCAGGCTGTCTCCATAGTAACCACTGTCTCCTTCTCTGAGACTTCTAGGACTGGGAAAAGATGCATCATGGGACTGGGGAATATTTAGAACTTCAGAAAGCTCATCTGCTTGTTCTTCTTGAGACTCATTTGAACTGTTTACAGCTATAACAAACGTTGAGTGAGTAGTTTTAACAGAGAAATCAACTTGGGCTTTTTTGCCAGTGTCTTGATTATTTCTGATCTTCTCTTTCACAGATAAATCTTTTTCAGTACTTTTCACAAGCTTCTCCATGTCTGTTTGAGTTTCTACTTCACTGCATGCATCTGGCTTGACTGTAGTTGCTTGAGTGGGCAGTCCCAACTTAGAATTCTGGGAACTTATCTCCTCCATCTGATCAGTATTAGTCCTACTGACCTCAGGCTCAACAGTTGAAACAATGTCTTGTGAGAGTACCTGAGCTACTAAATTTGAAGAGCCAATCTCCTCAGTTATGACATTGCTCACAAACTGTGAGTAATTCATATCCACATCGTCCTTTCCCCCATCTACAAAAGTAGTGGCACTTTGCGAAGGGACTTTATCCAATTTTCCTTCAGTCTGTTCAGCTTTGGAAGAAACATGCCCTACCTCCCCTGTTTGTCTTTTCTCAATACTTTCTTCAACTGCATGACTACTTCTTTTGCTCATATCCTCAAGTATTTCAGAGGCAATGTATTCAGTGACAATGTTCAAATTTGCTTCCAAAGGTTCCTTACTGGAGTCACCCTGCATCATGTCATTATTATTTTCTACAAAAACATTGTTGCAAACTGAATCCCTTTTTCGAAAGTAACTTTGAATAGAACGCATGACTTCTGATGATTCATCTAATTGCCAGTCACCGGTCTCTGAAGCTTCAGAGACACGAGTTCTATCAACTGTGCCAGTCATGTTTTCAAACTTTGATCTTATCTGCCAACCTCCACTAGGACTTTGATTTGCAATACGTAAAGCTGTTGCTGTTCGATCAACATAATCATGTTCTTCATCGTAAAAAGTCTGCCGCTCTGCCTTCAAACTGTATCCATTTACAGAATCTGATGACATATTCTCATATTCAGTACACAAGAAATTTGAGGACAGAGGAATGGAAAGCCAGTCATCTGACACAATATCATTGGATAGATTCAGTGCAATGATATTGTCATCCACTTCGCTGAGATCTTCACTACTTGTGTCACTGATAGTCTCAGCTGTTTTTGTTCTCGCACAGGCATCAATGATATCTGTATCTCTGTACCTGACTTGGTCAAAGGTTGTAGTATCAGCCCAATCTGTTTTGTCATTACATCGAAACAGTTCAAAACTTGAGTAATTTGCAAACTTCTTTTTAACTCCACATCGGTCATTTTCCAGCACATCACAAATCAGTTCATGGTAATGATTCCTTGAATTGATTGAGTTACCATTGAAGTTTGAGACATTATTTTCATGAGCAGGCCTCACGTTTTGGAAAGTTCTTTTTGGGGTATCAAATGCAAATTGAAATATCTCCTCAGTTTTACGCCAGATATTTTCTGTTTCAGACAGCTGGGTATCAGACGATGTGTTTGCCATTTGGGAGTCGTCAATTACATGAGAAGCTTTACAACCTTGTTGAATGCCAAGTCCATTCACAGCCATCTCAGATTTGTACTTCGATTTCCTCAAAGGATTTGCACTGTGCTCCTGTGGGATTGTCTGTCCAAAATGGGTGTCAGATAAACTAGCTCGTCTCTTTCCTCTAGTACAAAGTCCACTTAATTCAAGGTCTGAAGAAGAATCATTCAACTTCAGTCTTTCATTAGATCTAGATGGTTCAACATCCCCACCATGTCTCAATGAGTTGGATGGAAAGAGACTCCAAGAACTAATGTCTCCATTGCTGATATTTCCCTTGCCTAGAAGAAGAGAATTGGGCATTGAGTGAGAATAAAGCTCTTGGTCATTAGAATGTGTGCCATAGTGGGTATCTTTCAAGAGCACTTCTCTCATCCCAACGTAATCATTATATGTCTTCTCTTTGTGATCAGGTCTACAAGGATGATGTACTCTATTTTGTGAGTGACCATTTTGAGTCCCAACAAAAGTTTCAAGCTTACCTTTCGCCTGAAAGTCATCTTGGCAAGAAAAAGAAAAGTTTGAGGATTCTCTCAGAGAGTAGCTACTAATCCTGTCCTTGAACAAAAAAGATGATTCGACAGGCTCATCTTTTTCCAATGTGTGAACACATTGACCACATCTGGTGTGCCCTTGAAGGTAATCAACAGCATCACTTGTGCCGAGTGTATCCCGTGATTCATCTTGTAGTCTATTCCAGGACTCACAATCATAACGCACACCAGACCACTGACGGCACTTGCGTTTGTCATTCATCCATTCATCCTCTGAACTTGACATACAAGAGCTGACATGGTGACTTCTCTCCCTTACTTTTGGGCATTGACCACAGACACAACCATTATCAAAGTTGAGTTGAACTTCCTTATCTTTATGTAACTTGGATATCAGACCGAACTTCTTTGACACTTCAACATTAAACTTCAACCAACTTTTCAGGCTCTCAGCGTGTCCAGTAACTGAAAGCGAAAAATATCAAACTCAATGTAAACAAATTGCCTAAAGAAATATCTCAGACTTTTGATTCAAAGTCACAATAAACTAGAGTGAAACACAGAGAATTCATGCACAAATATTTGAACAAAAAGGCATTTTGTTAGATGCCTAATAATAAAAAAGCTACCAAAAACGTGCATCTTCTCCCCAATCTTCATTCAATACCTTCTTTTCCTCAAGTACCCAACATGATCTACCAAATTCATTATCTTGATTCTTGATGTATTCAGTTTTCCCTCTTTTATTCATTTTGAGTTTTCTCTGACATAACCTGCCCTTCTTTCTTCCCACTATCTAACGGTAGTATTTCTTGTTCATCCCTCTTAAAACAGTAGGATATTTCAATGCATGTTGATGCAACAGTAATGTTTGTTTGGGTAACTGCAAAATGATTCATATCAGCTCAAAATGATATAAAGTACCTTGAAAAAACTTTAAAAGCAGATACACAAAACAAGAGTTTAACAGCAAGTGAGCAATAATCCTACAGGAGAAAAACTAGAAACATGACAGGGCTGAGTCATTGGAAAGAAAGGTGTCAAGTCTACTTTGAGAGATTGACAGGTTAAAAGGGGAAAGTAGTAGAGCACCAACATACCTAGTTTCAGCACAGAAGGGGATAAACTCTGCCCAACAAATGTCTCAATTTCCCTCCAGCTGTTCGTATCCTGCCTCCAATCATCCTGCAGGTAGACACAGCTACAGGAGGGGAGAAGGGACAGGACTACATCATGAGAGACACCTAAAGCCACGACAATCAAGTGCTCCCTGAGATTCGGTGCAGCCATCAGTTCTTGAAACACAGACATATGGAGATACCTTGGAAGGCAATCTTCTATGAAGCCAGGTGTGAGGACCATGATGGAAAGCCATGATCCTTCCAGAACACGCTCCAGTTCTGTCATGAGATTGCTGCCAGCTCGAAAATCTCTGTCATGGAAGTAACTGAAATCAAAGAGAGATAGTACCGTCACATTATTATAATTATCTAAAATACCCTGTGCCATGAATCTAGATCCTGCCCCGACTCACGTTATACTTTTTGTTGGTTTTTTTTGGGGGGTTGCTATAAAGTTTGAAGAAAGTGCCTTCCGTAAACTAAACCAAAAGGATCTGAGTTGAATGCAACTTTGAGAGCATTTAAGAGACAACTGTGCCTGTGTAACATGAGATACAAAAATGTGCAGCAGGTCTCTCAAAGTTTTTTAATTTATTTCTTCAAGAGTCATAGAAAGTTAACACAATTTCCTTTAAGCACGTTGTAGACATACTTCAGTCATAAAACATAGATTACTTAGCATCTGTGTTTGTCGCGGCCGCAATTTTTCGGCAATTTTCGGTCTGCGAACCGCGGCTGCGATTTTTGCATTTTTTTCAACAACAAAAAAAATAAATGAATAAAAAATAAATAAAATAAAAACACTCCACCATCGGGGAATAAAAAAATCAAACAAAAAACGGGGAGTAAAAATCGACACACAAAAAAATTATTAAAAAAAACAAAACCTCTCTACTTTTAGAGAGAAAGAAAGTTTATTTTCACTTCAGCTTCACTTTGTCTCTTTCTCACTTGTTGAAACCACGTTGATTTGTTTTTTTCATGTGAAGAATATAAGTACATTACATACTATTTTTATATATATATATAATATATATTGCAGTTACTCTTTAATTTTCCCCTCTTTGTTGTGCTTTAATTTATTGGAGTGTTAATTTTTTTCCTTGTTATTGTTCTGATGTGTTGTCTTTCTGGGGGGGGGGGGTTGTGATTATATAGAGTAATATCATTTAATTTGATCTTGTTCCTAATTCATTTTTATGTGTTATGTTAGATCGTGGGTCCACCAAAACCGTATCCTGACACTGGCAGGCACCTTGTGTGTGATTCCATATATTACATGTAATATTCTGTACTTTTTTTCGAATTACGTACGTTTTTAGGGTTCAAATGGCAATCTTCAGAAGGTTTGACACATGTTTTTACACTCTGTGTGGCTACAAACTACAAATGATATTCTGGTTGCTTAATTAAAAGTTAAAACAGAGCACAAAAGAAATTCTGGTACTTTAGATTAAGTTACCGATATCAACATACTGCTGTATACGACATCGTCACAGAGAATTGAAAGCTTGGAAATTATTTGCAACTTTTATGACAACTTTTGCTATTTTTGTGGCAGCTTTTGGCAATGTTTGGACCAAAAAATTGCAACAAACGCAGATGCTAGGATTACTTTGATATTCCTTCATTTGTACAGAGAGGGCAACATCCCTATAAATTTATGATCAATTGATAGCATGTGACGTTTGACAAAGACAGTCTAAAACTTTGAGAACTAGACAGTGTGGGCATTACACCTACTCTCGACTATTCAAACAAAACCAAAGCCAATTTCAAGTACCCACTCAGAAAAAAAAGAATGTTTTTTATGTATCTTAAGTCAAGAGGTGAGCTTCAGCCCAACATCTCAGCAGATTAGAAATATAATAAGAGGTACAATATATTACAATACAAGCAAATAAACCTTGTGATCTGATGACGGAACAAAACAAGTGTACCTTAAAGTACTTACTTGTTAACATAACCCAACTTCTCCAACCGTTGCACAAGATGACAAGTAAAGTCCAGAGCCAGTGCAGAGTCAGATGTTCTTGACAAAGAGCTTTGAGCATGGTTGTAAATCACATTGAAATGGTAGATGTAGTACCGAGGAAGTGGTTGCCTTGGCCAGAGAGATATGGATGGTCTCCACAGTCCAACTTCCCTCTGGGCCCCATCATTATCTTGCCGTGCATGAGAGGGAGGCTCATTTGGTAAGTGCAGACAACCAGGCATTTTATTTCATTATGTTTTACCCATTACAGAAAAGACACTGTTCTTCCAGATGGCACTTGGTACACAGTGAGCAAGTTTCACTTCCTAACAAAGGAAAAAAAAGAATGTTATGATGCATGGAAACAACTCATCATTCACAATGAAAATTAAGAAAAGGAAATAGAAGAATTATAGATTTTTTAATAAGATACTCTCCGGGTGCAGAAGCAACAACAAAGGACTAAAACTTGGAAGAAGATTTTAGAATTTTGATTAGAGCTCTCTGAAGAGCACACATTAGTGCAGGTCGAGTGCGTGGAATCGGGATCCGTCATATAATTTGTAAGCCTTGTTATTGAACGAAAGAGTTCGCGTTCCATTAGAAGGGTGATAGTATTATAACTATATTTTAGCTTTCTGTTAAAGATTGGCAGATTTTCAGAGTTACTAGCACTTCATCTTTCTCTCTCTCCGTTCTTACAACTCTCACACTAAATCAAATAGGTCTACTTGAGATATTCAAGTTTTCACTCTACTTTGAGTTTGACAGTTTGAGCAATAATTTCTGTCTTTCGCATTTATAAAAAGAATCATGACAGCAATGAAGACTACGCACTTGAGTGTGTGTGTGTGTGAGGTTGTGTGTGTGTGTGTGAGGTTGTGTGTGTGTGTGTGTGTGTGTGTGTGTGTGTGTGTGTGTGTGTGTGTGTGTGTGTGTGTGTGTGTGCGTGTGTGTGTTACTTTCTTGTAACCCGTCTGATGCAAGAGTTCATGCTGTCATTGTTATGTAAGTTGTTTTAAGTGCGTCAACAACATTGCACCATCATATCTTTGAGACATGGTCATCGAATATATACCATCTTGGCCTTTAAGATCGGCGACGAAAAGACTTTTAAGACCTGTCCTAAGCAAAAGTCAGAGACTCGGAGGGAGAGCTTTTTCACACCACGCCCCCTCCTTGTGGAACGCTTTACCAACCCATCTACGGGCGTCCACCACTTTATAAAAATTTTAATCAGCACTTAAAATGCATTTGTTTCAGTCTAGCTTCAATCTGTAATTTCCGACATTCCCAATACAAATATTATTATGTTCTCTCAGTATCTATTATGTTCTCTCAGTATCGTTTATTCATGATGTTCTGTTCTGTAAGAATTCATGACTGTGAGAATTCATCAATGTGTGCGAGGGTGTCTGGGTAAGCTTTGTGGGATTGTCTTTACTCAAGGAAGTACTGAGAGAGAGAGAGAGAGAGAGAGAGAGAGAGAGAGAGAGAGAGAGAGAGAGACAGAGAGAGAGAGAGACAGAGACAAAGACAGAGAGACAGAGAGACAGAGAGAGAAAGACAGAGACAGAGTGAGACTAGTGAGAGAGAGAGAGAGATAGATAGAGAGAAAGAGGATTACTATAGGAGCTGTGCACTTCATATGTTCTTTGTATTATTGTACAGCGCATTGAGCACTTCTTTGTGGAAATGCACTATATAAATGCAATTTATTATATTTATTATTATTATTACATGCCCCTGGAAAATGGATGACTCCCCTGGAATATTGAGAAACCCGTCTGGCAGTCACCCTGTCTACATTTTGTACTTGGAAGTGAAAATGAAGCAATCGTGTGATAGTCCTAACGAAAATGAGGAGAAAAAGAAAAAGAGTTTCGTTGAGTAATCCTACTTTGCTCTTTTCTACAGCATATATTATAGTGACCCACTGTTGTATTTTTCTGCGTAGGGTGCAATGGTTTTGTTTGCCGCTATGAACAGTGTAAAAACAAGAACCGCCAAGGCAAGGTCAGCATTCCAGCAATTATCAAAAGTCTGGAAAGTAAGCAACATCTCACTGCGCACCAAGATTCGACTCTTTAATTACAATGTCAAGTCTGTGCTCCTCTACGGCTGCGAAACTTGGAAGACAACAAAGACAGTGCTGAATAAAGTCCAGACTTTCATCAACAGATGTCATGAGAAGTATCCTAAGAATTAAGTGGCAGGATAGAGAAAGAAATGAAGAGCTATGGGAAAGGACATGACAAAAGGATATATAGAAGTAGAAATAGGACTAAGAAAGAGGCGTAAGACGGGACACACCTTCAGAAAGCCCAGGGGAAACATCACAAGACAGTCACTTCAATGGAACCCACAGGGAGCACGAGGCAGGGGTAGGCCACAAGAAACATGGAGGAGATGTGTGGAAAGGGACATGAGAGAGATGAAGCTCACTTGGAACGAGCTAGCAGGAAGGATGGCCCAGGATAGAGATAAATGGAAGGAGCTCGTATGTGGTCTATTATATATTATACCTGCCAGGGGTGAAAGGCACTGATGATGAACAGTGTCCCTGAGGGGGGGGGGTAAATGTCCCTAAAAATACTTGACTTGGTCCCTGAGACCCAAATTGACAGGTAGGCAGGTCTGATTCATTGATTAAACTGGGCCCACAGCGCAGAAAGAAAGTGGTATCAAAACTCCAACAAGGAGGGCACAGTGACCTCAGCCGATGGTCTAACAACAGTGCAACCCCCATCCCATGGAAAGAGGCCTGGTCAACGACAGCGAAAAAGAGATAAAAGGACCAAGACAACTTCCAAACATTAAACAGTAAACTTTTTATAGTTAAAATCATTTAATTTAAATGTTTGACGTACAATTTCAAACATATTTTGCTTTGTTTTGCATGACTCTTAATGTACACACAAGTTCAATGAATGCATTTTTTTAGCAAGGCTTTTCTCTCAGCAAACAAACCAACTATAGCAACCTTACTTTTTCAACACATGACAGACATACAGGGAGTGGGGCCTCGATTGGGTTCAATCGGGTCTGATAGGGTCTGATTGGGTTCTTACTAATCTTACTGATTACCGTTGCCATAGATAGCCTTAATTTTTTTTAAAATCAAATAGCCTTCTTAAAATTAGGCTATAACTGAGAGTATCGGTAGATCTAGGTATCAGATGTATTCTTCTCTTGACCTTTCGTTCTTGCATATAATTATGGGTCAGCAAACCACTCTATTTGTTCTTTTTAGTAGTGTGCCTTGAATTTTTTTTAAAAACTGCTCTTGTGGTCACTGTACATAATTTATAAGGCCACCTCTATTCTCACCCGGGGTGAGAAGAGTGCAGGCGAGTCTTTTGGCTATTCTCACCCGGTGCGCGTTCACCGTTATAGCCTAGATCTAGGCCAACAAATTTTGCGTTCACCCTAAACCACAGAATTCTATACTGTGATAATATAACAGAAAAATTGTAGAATTCTGTGCCATGAACAAACATTCCATTACAACTGTAGCCTACTAAAAGCGTACAATTTTGTCTGTGGGCAGTGGAGAGAGAGAGAGAGAGAAAGAGAGAGAGGAGTAGCGCGAGAACTTCCGGGCAAAACAAAATGGCGACCCGCGTAGTTCGGCTCGATTCGAAAAGTTAAATAGCCGTAGCATCTTTGTAGACGACCAAATTAATTTACTTTTGTGTTTTAACATCATTTTTTAACTTTGTTTTGGTCAATTTGATCGTCCACACCGATAGACAGTATTCAGAAAGAGACAGAGAGAGAGAGAAGAGGGGAGGAGTAGATCTTGCGAGAACTTCCGGGCGGGTGAGAATAGCCACGGTGTGGGCATGTTTCCTTATGTAGATCTAGGCCAACCTAGAGTGGTTTGCTGAAGCAAAATAGTACAAGCACATTTTGTAGAAGATTAGTAGGCCCCCTATAACTCGATTATTGTGCGACCGCCGACTGTACAACAAAAATATCAATAAAATTCTTTAATCGTCAGTAAACAAAGACAATTTAAAATGATTCAACTCTTTTCATTACACAAAAAGCAGTCCTGTTATATTATCAAAACCCAGGTCCGTACGGCATAACTCCAAAAATGAAGAAGGGACAGCTTATAGACCAGCACTGAGATTTGCTAACAACAAAAATTCAGTTATAATAATGAACAAATACACTTGCCGCCATATTGTTTACAAGCTCATTCCCTGTCAACCTTTGTCGATTTGCCAGAAAGATACATTTAGAACAGCCTAAGCGTGATTTGGTTTTTTTAGTCAAGTATAGTTTATAAAGTTACGTCATGTTTTGTGATACATTTATTTTAATCTGAAAGATGGAATTGTTGTACATAGTTAGTAAATATAGCTTTATCAAAACATCTATACCTTTTCAATTCATGCTCTTGTATTTTGCACAAGAATAGTCCCTCACATAAACTCTGGCAAGTCAGATGAGCTACTCAAAACAAAGATCGGAAGCGGAAGCAAATAATACTCGAAAAACGAAAGATTTTTAGATCACTGGCACTGTTTTGTAGGACTGAAGACTTTCCAGTGAGTGAATCATGAAAAGTGCTTTCCTGTTTTTGCTGTCAGGTAAACATATTTCTGTAAACAAACAATGATTTAGGTGTAATGTGGTCTTCTGTTTATTATTATTATTTTGTATTTCCAGGGCAATGTCTGACATGGATCTTGACTCTAGGCTAGATCTAGAATCTAGATCTAGGCTAGTATTCTAGGTTCTAGATCTTAGCTACTGACAAGTATTTTATTACAACATGACATGAAAAACCCAACGTAGGTCTACTTGAATCTAGATTATATTAGATCGAGATATCTAGATCAAGACGTCTAGATCTAGATATACAGTGGGTGTCGCATTCAACGAGGTTGCCGGGACCGGCTTGTTTACTCGTTGGATCCGACCTCTCATTGAACGTGACTGTCTAAGAAGGCTAAGACAAGAAAGGAAAAAGAGCTAGATATTATATTAGGCTGTAACTGTAACTATTTGTCCGAATGTTCTGGAAAATAAAGCTGGGCACTATTTCTCCGAACATTCGAGAAAATAAAGCTGGACACTATTTCTCCGAACATTCGAGAAATGAAGTGACTATTCAGACTCGAGTCCGAATATGAAAAAACGACAACCGAAGTGACTATTCGGACTCGAGTCCGAATATGAAAAAATGTTATTCGGACTCTGATTCTTGTCCAGCATGACATCATTTCCGACTTCCGACTTCCTGTGACTCGTGACTCCGGTTTCCTGTCCTGCCTCACTCGTGACTCGCCTCAGGCTGGGTAGAGACCGGGATCACTTCGGGCAAAATGGCGTTAAATTGTGCTGGAGCCGAGTTTTAATCTTATGATGAATTTGAGGCGGCCTGAAAAGTTATAGCGCTTCTAATAAATGTTTATTTGTCAAGAGGTCATCAGAAGCAATTAAAGATGGCTCGTTAGCGTGTGTCGGGGTCGGATGGGCGGCCTGCACACGTGTGGCTGTGTGCGTGTCGGGGGAGGGGGGCACTATCGGTCCGGGCGTTGAACGTCGCATGCGCGTCAGTCTCCCCCCCCCCCATGGCAACTGATCATTATAACAATAATAAGCTAGTCTTGACGCAGATCTACGTAATAAATTGAGCGCTGGTCTATGAAATCAAAAGTTGCCGTATGCTAACACAACTTTTTCTTGGTAAACAATCGAGATGACACAGGTTTGTGTATTTGAACGAATCGGTCTTCTTTTTTTGCACAGCTCATAATATGCAGGTGCCAGGTGATCTGCTAATCTTCAATTTTACCTTTTTCTACAACAAAGAAAGTGGGAAACATGGGGGGGGGGGGGGCGTATCAATGAGGCCGCGGGCAATGGATCTGCAGATAAGGTGTGGGGGAAACTAAAAAATGGCGGAAAATTGGAAGCACTGAACGTTAGATCTATAGAACGAAGACACTTCCTTTTTTCCGGACCCGTGTCCGAATAACATTTTTTCATACTCGGACTCGACTCCGAATATGAATTTTTTTTTTCGGACTCGAGTCTGAATATGAAAAAATGTTATTCGGACTCGAGTCCGAATAACGACGGCCTATTGTAATAATGATCAGTTGCCGGGGGGAAAAAGACTGACGCATATGCGACGTTCAACGCCCGGACCGATAGTGCCCCGGCCCCTCCCCGACACGCACACTCAGCCACACGTGTGCAGGCCGCCCATCCGATCCCGACACACGCTAACGAGCCATCTTTAATTGCTTCTGATGACCTCTTGACAAATAAACATTTATTAGAAGTGCTATAACTTTTCAGGCCGGCCTCAAATTCATCATAAGATAAAAACTCGGCTCCCGCACAATTTAACGCCATTTTGCCCGAAGTGATCCCGGTCTCTACCCAGCCTGAGGCGAGTCACAAGTGAGGCAGAACAGGAAGCCGGAGTCACGAGTCACAGGAAGTCGGAAGTGATGTCATGCTGGACAAGAATCAGAGTCCGAATAACATTTTTTCATATTCGGACTCGAGTTAGTCACTTCGATTACAATAATAAGCTAGTCTTGATGTAGATCTACGTAATGAATTGTGCGCTGGTCTATGGAATCAAAAGTTGCCGTATGCTCAGCTCTACACAGCAACACAACTTTTTCTTGGTAAACAATCAAGATGACACAGGCTTGTGTATTTGAACGAATCGGTCTTTTTTTTTTTACACAGCTCATAATATGCAGGTGCCAGGTGGTCTGCTTGTCTTCAATTTTACCTTTTTCTACAACAAAGAAAGTGGGAAATATGGGGGGGGGGGGCGTATCAATGAGACGGCGGGCATCGGATCGGCAGAAAAGGTGTGGGGGAAACTAAAAAATGGCGGAAAATTGGAAGCACTGAACGTTAGATCTATAGAATGAAGACACTTCCTTTTTTCCGAACCGGAGTCCGAATAACATTTTTTCATATTCAGACTAGAGTCCGAATAAGAAATTTTTTTATTCGGACTCAAGTCCGAATCGTGGACAATATGGTCTAAAAAATGTCCACAGTAAATATTTATATAAAGAAATACTACAGTTCCAAACAGTTTTTCGCTACAGATATGACGTGTTGCCTATGAAGGGTGCTGCGGTAAATTTTTACTTTCACTCCCGCACACAGATATGCACTGCTTCAGGGGTCAAACTGCAGTACTGTTTGCTGCAAATCGCAAATAAAGCCACTAAAACTGTCGCAAATCAATTATTTTCAAGAAAATTTCAAATCTTAGGTTACTGTAAAATATCTAATTATGAGTTAAATGTAACCCCCCCCCAGATTTTCTTTTACCTCAGGGGGGCATGCCCCCTGGAACCCCCCCCCCCGATTGGTCCAAAGCATGTCTATCTCGATTAAGAGAACAATCAAATATTTCAAAAACTATTAATTTGCTACGGAAATTAAGTTGATATTCGTGTTCAGCGCATCAATATTTAGTAGAAAATGGACAAGAACTGGTATTTAAGTGTGAGACGGGAGGGAAAGTAAAGAAATACTGGTGCTGCTCTTAAACTTAATGTGTTGTGCTCACTCGAGTGCTGTCTAGATATCTAGATCTCTATGAATCTATGCAGGGTTATTGATAACGACACACAGAACTAGCATCGGCGTTTGTCGCGGCCCCGACCAGTCAATCGTGGCTCGATTTTTTGGTCCCCAAATCGGGGAATAAAAGTCAAAAAAATAAAGAAACGGAACCTCTTTACTTTAGAAAGAAAGTTCACTTAGCTTCACTTCGTCTCTTTCTCACTTGTTATCACCACGTTGGTTTGTTGAATACGTTACAGTTACATATGATTTGTATTGCTGTTCCTCTTTTATTTTTCTCTCTTTGTGGTGTTTTATTTTGTTGGTGGTGTGTAATTTTTTTTTCTTGTTATTGTTCTGGTGGGGGTTTTTTTAGGTTGTTTTTTTTTTTGTTGGGGAAAAGGGGGGGGGGGGATATTGTATAGTGTAACGTCTTTTAATTTGATGTTCCTACCTTCATTAGATTCTGTACATGTATATACATTGATTTAAATGTATGTTAGAGCATTCCACCAAAATGGATCACATGAACTAACACTGGCAGGCCCCTTGTGTGTGATTCCATAATTTACATGTAAAATCCTGCACATTTAGGGTTAAAACAGCCAATCTTCTCCGGACAGGTGGACACACGCCCTTATTTGTTAATTTTTGTGGTTCCTTATTGATTGTTCTAATTTTGATTTCATTCTGTTGTGAAACCTTTCTTTTTCACGTTTTTACACTCATGTAAAAATCTCTAGACTAGCTCTTGAAAATTGAAATAGATCTAGATCTAGACCCAAAAATGTGCTCCTTCCCAGACCTCGCAGAATGGCAGAATGAAAGTTGGCGCCGAACTCTTGCAAATAGGCAAAAAATCATGAGACCGGAAGCCGGAAACCATTCGGGGAAATACAGATCGGCACTATTTCTCCGAACGTTCGGAGAAATAGTCACTTCGATTATGTTACCCGATGTACCCAAACCAGTAATTAAAACAGTTGTTCCCCTGATGACGAAAATCTCAAACAGCATCAGTATGCGCGTGTTTGAGCTGTGTTCTGACCATCATTTCTGCATTTTAAAATATTTTTTTTCCGGAACACTTCTCGTGTGGAAACATACCATCTCACATCGAGGCCAATATCTACATAATGTAAAGGCTGGAGCTTGGATTTTCTGATCAAGGGATGTAGACCTACCCATCCAGAGTTCGTCCAGTTTCACACAGCCCGCATCGCGTTCCCACCCACCCCCTCCCATCCCTTCCCTAAGCCCTAAGCTAACCCTCGCCCATCCTCTTGGCTTTGGCGCCCATATTGCAAGGCACACTAGGTCTAGTATCATGTAGGAATACAATGCGTTAGGAATTGAGGATGGGCCTTTTGCTTCGCGTCAGATGGAGAGAAAGGAGAAACATTCTTCGCTTTTGGGGCCGTTAATTGTTTTTATTTGGTTTTCGCGACCTCGTTGAAAGCGACTTCGGTCTGTTTGCAACCTCTTTGGAGCTGACGTTCATTTACAAAGATATATAGAGGAAAAAATCGAGGATTAAGGATTGCCTCGTTGGAGCCGACTTCTCGTTGAATGTGACCTCGTTTAAAGCGGCACCCACTGTATAGAATCTAGCCTAAGTTTCAGGCTTCATCCTCTTTCAATGCAAAAGCCTGATATTTTGAATGAGAAAAACTGTTGTTATTCTGTACACTACAGTTCTCTTGACAAAGGACGAAGGTAGTGTTAATTGCGACAGTGACAACCTACTAGATAGAGTGAACACGGAGCTCTTTTGCATGGATGATTAGATCTAGTTCTAGATCTAACATCTTCAACCATTTCCGCTTCTCCCAGTGTGGTCCAAGTTATCTCGACTAGTCTCAGCCTGACAAGATGGAAGGCTTTCTAGAGCTCCGAAACTGAAACAGTTAAGAAGGCGGACTTAAAGAGTGTGGTAAAAATCCACAAAGACTTTCTGTAGGCCTACAGTAATGTCGAGGCAACAAATATTTCAAACATCAGCAGCATACAACAGCAACAAAAACCACTTGGGGCAACTACAGCAACAACAGCAAGAAAATACCTGCGACTATCTTTGTTTGTTTGTCTGTTAGTTTGGTGTGTGTGTGTGTGTGTATAAGGTCACAAACGTGTGCGTTTGTTTGTCTGTGAGTGTGAATGTATGTGTGTGTGCATGTGTATTTGTATGTGTATGTGTGTAAGTGCATGTATGTGTGTGTTTGTTTTTCTTTTTTCTTAAAAAACTTTTTTGTTACAGAGTCACTCTGTCGCAATTAACGTTAGTTGTCTTAGCGTCACTCTTTGTTTGTTTGTTTTAATAAGGTTTTACGGTGCTCGCAACTGCATAAGGTCATATGAGCACCAAGGGGTGGGTGTCAACAGAGAAGTCTTCACAGGGAATCAGACTTAGACTGCTCACCTCTCTAGCTTCAACAGCACAACGTCTGCTTCGACTATCAAGGCAACCCAAAATAGCCGGTCACAAGAGAGTGACAAAAGACATACAAAAGAAGTAGAGGAAAATGGCAATAGTAAGGATCAGGATAGAGAAAGCAGCGGTTCCCTGTTGTAGATCAGGCACAGTTATGAGCGTGACCTGAGTCAGCCCATTTACAATTCTACTATGCTTGAACGAGAAATGTCCCCCCTTTGGGAATGGCCTAAAGACTCTTCAGGTAGTGTCACTCTGTTTCAATTAACTCTACCAAAGACAAAAAGGATGGTTTCGAAGCGACTATATAGATCTATCTATTTCTCTGAACACTGAGAAAATAAACTTGAACTCTATTTCTCCATACGGTTTCCGTTCTCCAGATTTTTTGGTTATTTGTGAGAGTTCTGAGTCATCTTTCATTCTGCCATTCTGCGAGGACTTGGAAGCATTTTTTTGCATCGAATTCTAGTTCCAGGGCTAGAGATTTTTTAGATGTAATTCAATTGTGGTTGGGGCAAAGTTCCCAAACTACACTTCATTTGAAAATAAATGCTTTCTAAAGATACTGCGAGAAAACAAGACTGCGAGAAAACAAGACTGCGAGAAAACAAGACTGCGAGAAAACAAGACTGCGAGACTTTAGCAGTAACGTATTTTGCATTTTGTCACCTCTAAAGCAAAAACTGTCACAAAGAAATCCCTCCTCGCCCCCCGCCCCCTTCACACCTTACACACACACACACACGCACACTCACTCTCACACACACATACACACTCACACACGGGCCCTCCATTCGCAAGTGTTTCAATTACGACATGCAAATGATTATATTTGTAGTTCTGCTGTTACTTTCAAAATAAGCTTTGTCCGAGCTGTTACTCAGGCCATCACCAAGACCCGCCAGTAAAACTGTTTCAATCACACATTCGCATCACGTGACATGACTTTGGCTTGTGAGTTGCATGTGTGTCGAGACCATCCGTTGACGCGGTCAACTAAAGTTCATGCTCTCTGGTTGAAGTTGAGGTGTCTTTCATTACTTAATTTGGTTGTGGGGGGGGGGGGGGGGGGGTAAGACATTCGGCCCATGAGTGCTTTCGTGAGACTTCAGGATTTTAAAGAATAATGATAACAAACTCACGGACATACGCACATACACACTCAGACATATACACACGCACACGCACACACACACACGCACACACAAACACACACACACACACACACACACACACACACAGGGCATATACATGGATATATTTATGGACATCCCAGGAATATTTCAAGTCACCTAGGCACTCACCTTGGTGATTTGTCGTTGATCCCCATTTTTTTCACCAAATCTCAATTTTTTTCCCCCTGAAGTCCTGATTTTTAGTTTTCAAAGAATGGCAGGTCTCATCATGGTCTACCACTGTAACGAGTGTAATAAGTTTTTTATACCATACTACTAATATCACTACCAGCTGGCGATATAGATCCGCACCAACAAAGTTCAAATGACCAGTCTAAGAGTCTAGAGCTAATATATGAAAAAAAAATCTTCATGCACGTTGGAGTCAGAGTGAGAAGTGGAAAAAATCTGGATTTTTATTTTATTTTTAGCCATACTAAAATGAAATGTTGTGCTATTTGTATGTCTCCCTCTGCGAAATAAACCCCAAACAAAACAATAATTAACGTAAGCAAGCAGAAAATGAATGATTCAAAAGTTGTAAAGATTAAGAAACTACGTCTTTTATGACATTCTGTCATTAGAATAGAGATTACTTTGACTTGATTTTAAACTTCGCTGTTAAAACAAATCAAAGGCTGGGAGTCGTTTGCTAGCACAGACTTGGGCATTGCACTAAAATACATCACCGCACTCTGACGTTTTTCCAGTTCACTGTGACGCACACCCATTTGACTCGAATTTGGAATAAAGTTATGGGCAACATAGAAAGTTATGCATACTCTCTATTAGGACACTGGGATACTGGTGTTTGGCTCTTCATTTGGGCGCCTTTATGGTGAGCGCACTTTGCAGTGAAGTTTTTACAGAGTGCAAAGAGCAACTGCCATAATGTTGCATGGTCTAGGAATAATATGATTCAAGTCTATACTTTGATTATTGAAGGCGAATATAGTGTGTGGAGTAGTAATTTATACTTATTTCACATGTGAGATACGTGTCTGGCTCTGGCGGTAACTAACACTTTTGTATTTGTCAATGTCCCCAGCACTGTGAAGCCTCATGTCAGGGCCAGAATGAGTGGGGGAAAAGTGGACATCAAGGTCGTACTTCTCGGAAAAGCTTATGCTGGGAAGACGAGTCTGGTGGAAAGATTCATTCACAATCGCTTTGTCGGAGATACGGTTCCCTACCAGAACGTAATTGTAAATGTTTGAACCCCTGTTTTTACACTCTGCTCGTAACCTCTTAGTGCCATTGGGTGCTTTGGAGGGTTGAAATGCTACAAGTGGATTTGCTATCCAATGGTGACAATGTGCACTTCACATACTACATGGAACTAACCTGTAGAAGTTGTTTTTATGTGTGCATGTGAATGTGCCTTTCTGCAAATAAGCAGATTGTCAATAAATTTGATCCCTGCTTTTCAACCCTGTCCAAAAAGAATTTCTGCTAATCGCTTTTGTCTTTCACTCTTCGAGAGTTTAACACATTCGCCTCATCTTAGTGGTATGCTTCAAGATAGCTTGAGGACATTTGCATCCTTGACTCTCTATAATACACTTAGCCTGCAATTGATTTTGAGTAGAGGCAAATAATGAGGAATTTTGCATTTTTTAGTTCATAATTAGAACTTAATGTCTGCTTCTTTCCCTGTCGCTGAAATATTTTTTTTCATAACATCAAATCTTGTTTTACTTCTGCCTCTTTTTTTTTGGTGCTCAGTACAAAGTTCTATCTGTTCGTATAAATTTATAAACCATTCTTCGAACATATTACTACATCAAAAGTTAGCTTCTGTCTCTTTAGTATGATTAGCATTCTTTTTTGTCTTGTTTTATTTTGTAGATTCTTGTGCAGTTAAGTGAGATTTGATTTGAGTCCTAGGTTTCGCATGCAACAGCCCATTTTCTTGTATACTGTTACGTGCTGATGTAATTCGGCATGAATTTTTTTTCATATAGTAGCGATAGCAAATTTCCTTCTTTTTATCACTTACGGTTTGCATGTCATTTGTATCAACTTTGCTGCTGTGAAATAGGGCAATAACTTTGATTTTGTTGCGCCAATAATGTAACCACTGCTACTAGATTTTCAGATATTCGTTTAGTGAGTCACATTACATGAATCGAAATAGCGCCCTTCTCATGAAAATGTTTTAAACTGTATTATGAGATTTTAGTTTTTGTTAACATTTTTCATCCTCCCATTCCCTCAAGGGATGATTGGGAGGAGCACAGTGTCCTGGTCCTCTAAGCACTATAATAGACACAAGAAGATTAAGAGGATTAATACCTGGAATACCTGGAGGTGTCATCTCTAACTCAGAGGTTGACATATAATGGCCCTCCAGCCTTCACGGTCATGAGCTGCCATTGTACATGCTACTATACCCAGGCCTGTCCATGTCTTAATGTTAAAGAGTTTTACTATATGAATGAAATTACTGCTTCCTACAAAGTCCTTTGTTCAATATTTCTATCACTGAATTGTCATTTAATTTTTCTAATCTTTTTGAATGATTTCCCAGTTAAAAGTAAATTCCTTGGGTTTTTTCTAACACTTTTGTATGCTTCGCTACCTTTTAAGTGACTTGTCTTTTATTCACTTGCAAAAAACATTTGATAGTTAGTACCTTCTGTTTTTGATAGAGGGGAGAAGCAGCAATAGATTGGTTTTTACTACAATCATAGCTGCTTATTATCTCTGCATATTTACTAGTTTTCCATTTTTAAAGTCGTAAACTCACCTTTTGGGTACTTTTAGTTTAGTGGTGCTTACTTACAAAATTCCAGAGCAGTTGAGTGTGGCAGAATATTCTATATTTGTCATGACATCAGATGCTCATCAGTGTTTGAGCGTGTGGATTTATTAGTACCATCTTAAAGTTTGTTCATTTTTCGTGCTTTCGATGAAAAAAATACCCATATATCTTGAACAGAGGTAAAGATTTTACTATTAAATGAGATGGGGTACCCTGGTTTCAGATGTAAAATTACTGAGAAAATGGCCGCCAAAGTTTGGAGACTTCATAGCTAAGAGTCAAGATCAACATTCTTCAGTAAAATCCATGCGTAGATGTGTTTTTTAATGGACATGATAGGTGCTGTGCAAGGAAAAAATCAATAAAGATTACAATACCTTTGAAAAAATGCTGATTTCTTCTATTTTACTATTTTGACAAGCACCTGTTTTCACCACGATGCCTCACATATGTCCTCTTGTCATGTCTACCCAGCACAAGATTTTATTATTTCTGATAACTACCCACTTTCCTCCTTTTACAGTCCCAGTGTCCTTATCCACTCATGTCTTTGGAACGAGTATTTTTTTCCTGGCCCTTAAAGGAAGACCCGGGTCAGCGATCCAAGGCAATATCGATACAATTTTTCAAACTATCCAACTTTTGTTTTTTGCCGAAAAACATCCTTTGACATCTGTTCTATCGAGTCAAAATGAAGAAACTGTTGATAAAAAACCCTAAATGACCTAAAAGGGCGTTTGAAAAGTGCAAATTGCTTTTAAAATCCTTTAAAAAATCCCTGTTTTTTCTGTTTTTCTCAAAATCTACTTTTTGACATATGTGACCTCCTGGGTGCAAGGAATTTTCATAAACTGCAGAAGCTAGAAGCTTCAAATTTGGTGTACAGGTGCTTTAAGATCGATTCTGGGGATCTATGAAAGGGAATTGGGAAATATTGGTAACTTAAGGAAATATTCAATTTTTTGGTAATATGTACCCCGAAATTTCGTCAACTGACTCTAGGGGGTCCACTAACTTTGGGCTCACTTTTTTAGTTTTAAAGATGGGTCAAAATCCTTTCATAGATCCCCAGTTCATATAGGTTTGTACTTGTGTGCCAAATTTCAGGCTGATAATTCAATATTTACTATGAAATTCTTCTGCACTAAGAAACTGGTTTGAAATCCAAGATGGCCGCCACAGAGACCCATTTTTTAGAAAAATTCAACAAATTCACCCCTAGTACATCCTATTTACCTATGAACTTCTTGCACAATTACTTGAAATTGAATAAAAGTCATTTGTTTAGAAAATTTTTCCAGGAGTGTACGTCTCCCCTTAAACCTAATGCAAAATGGGTTGTGTGTGCATGTGGGGGGGGTAGATGTGTGTGATCCTAATTTGGGCGTTCATTTGCCTGAATAAGTACTTCCCTTCTTGTCGTCCCCTCCGACTTTGATATCCCATTACAACACACACACACACCCTCCTCCCCCCCCCCCCTCCCCCCCCCCTTTCCAGATTCCTTGTCTTTAGAATGGCTGTCTTGAAAAAACTCAGCTCTACTGTGGGTTTTCAAGCGCAGTCAAAATCATTTTTTGCTTGCTTGCAGTCATCCATTCCATATTCTATTTGATGTTTTCGAGCTGCTCAGAGTTTTAGTCGTAAAAACTTATCTTGTTTTGCTTCACTTATTTTTGATTCAGTAAGTTTTTCAAAAATATTCCTTGTATAATTATAATTAGATGAGTTTTGTGTTTGCTAGAGTTAGTTTATTTTCTGTAGTTTTTCTAGACTCCATAAAGTATGTATTTTGGGTGTTAGTTTGATGTCTTTCTGCTTTTTTTGGCCTTTTCCTTGTAATTTTGTATGGGCTTAGATAGGGCTTAGGTTGTTTAACCTTGTTAGATATGCCAAGATTATTTTGTGCTGTTGAATTATATTCTGATATCTTCTGAGGTGACTCATCATAGTTCTGCTCCTGATAGCTGTTATACATTCTGCTCTTAAACTTAAAGTCAGTTCTGTTAATTACATGTAAATAAAGGGATGAACTGACAACTTTATCACTCTGACCCTTTTAAATTCGTACATAGGTATTCAATAAGCATTGTTTTGTTTTTTGGGGTTTTTTGCAAGTTGCTTGTATTTATATTCTAAATTTGATCTGTTTGATGAATCTCTTAGTGTCACCGACTTTAATGCTTTATCAAGAGTGCGAGTCTGTTGCTTGATCAGATTGATAAATATACATTTATGTATGTTATTGGTTATGTAAAGCTTGCGGGTTATTTATTTATTTATCCATTCTTTTTATTGGGGGGGGGGGGGTGAGCAATTAAATTGTGCGTAGATTCACATCCTTCTTGCTGAAAGCTTATTTTCAGAAATTCAGATTTGATTTGATATTGTATTTTTAAATATGAACCTTTAAACAGAGTGTACTCGCTCTCTCACTGGGACCTTCAAGGGTTTGTTATGGGGTTGCTGGCATTTCAGTCCATACTAATGTATGTTGTTCTTACTTTTGTTCATATGTTTGGCAGGTGGGACTGTTAAAAAAGAGAAGAGATGGCTATGGAACCTGAAAACTAGCATGGGATGTAATGTATAAAAAGTTTGGGAACCATTGACTGAAAGGGGACGGGTGGATTGTTCAGTTTCATTTGTGAAACCTAAAACACAAAGTGACTGAAGAGAACTATTTTCCAGCATTGCTTGTCTCGAGCACGGAAAGCAAATAACTTGACATATGAATGGCATAGTTATTTTAATAATAATTTTGGCTCAATTTAAACACCAAGTCCCTTTCTGATGGAAAGAGGTAGCCTCTAATGCAAAAAGTAGCTCATTGTTCGGTGAGTTTTTCCTTTCTAACAATGAACTAAGATGTTGAATGTAACATATGCCTTTACCTTATTGCTATGCTGTAGTTGTCAGGGTTATTAACACTAATCTCTCATTCTTCCTTATATTTGTACTTAAGACTGTTTTTTTTGCTTTCTATATTCTGCCGCAATTTACAACAGACTATCGGTGCAGCATTCGGCGCAAAAACTGTTACAATTGACAACAAAAATGTCATCATTGGAATTTGGGTAAGTTAATAGCAATTTTTTAAAACCTTATTATATGTTTATGGGAAAACATTGGCCGTTATATTACTTTATGCTCAGCTGAACAAGAAAGAAGATGCTACTACATTTTAATGTGCCAAATTTTCATGCAATGTTAATGTACATTCAATTATAACAGACATCCTATAGTTTACAGTGCTCCTTGGGTATTTTCAAGCTTTGATTTAGTGATTCATGGTGTATTTGTTTCAGCTGGACTGTTCCAATGTAGATTAGAAAGAAATTGTATGTTGAAACTGCTTGTTATGAAAGTATAAGTGTATGGCTATGATAAATACATTTCAGAGTTTGGGTTTCCTGGAACAGACTGTGAGTTGAGTTGGGGGTTGTTTATTTGGGGGGGGGGGGGTTGATGTCTACAGCGTTTGCTTGATAATTTATATGAAAATTGAGTTCTCGCTGTCAGGCTCATAACCGAAGGTCATGTGTTTGAACCCCGTTACAGATCCCATGTTTTGTTCTGGGAAGAGACATTTTACATGAATTTTCCTCCCTTCACTCAGATGGGAATAGGTACCCGGTTATAGACCATGAAATATCCTGTCAGTTTGTGTGTTTTAATGCTTAACTGGCTACCTGCGCTGTACGCTTCCTGTGAAGCCTTTTAAGACCTGTCCAAAGCAAAAGTCAGAGACTCGGAGGGAGAGCTTTTTCACACCACGCCCCCACCCTGTGGAATGCTTTACCAGCTCATCTACGGAAGTCCACCACTCTATCAAAATTTAAATCAGCACTTAACACACATTTGTTTCAGTCCAGCTTAAATCTGTAATTTCCAACATTCCCACTACAAATATTATTATGTTCTCTCAGTATCTATTATGTTCTTTCAGTATCCATTATGTTCTCTCAGTATCGTTTATTCATCCTGTTCTGTTCTGTAAGAATTTATGACTGTGTGAATTCATCAATGTGTGCGAGGGTGTCTGGGTAAGCTTTGTGGGATTGTCTTTACTCAAGGATGTACTGGAGAGAGAGGAGAGAAGAGACAGAGACAGAGTGAGACTAGTGAGAGAGAGAAAGAGGATTATTATAGGAGCTGTGCGCTTCATATGTTCTTTGTATTATTGTACGGCGCATTAAGCACTTCTTTGTTGAAATGCGCTATATAAATGCAATTCAGTATTATTGTTATCATTATTGTTATAAGCCGAGAATGTTTCTGCGTGTTGTAGGGTCTGCTGGGGTAATGACAGTTGTAAAATGCATAGTGCATGCTGTAGAGCATGAGTATGCACTATATAAATGTAATTATTATATTATATTTAGGCAAAGGCACATTGAGAGTCCTCACCAGAAAGAACCACACTGCAACCATCTTCGACTTCTGCTTGATTGGTTTGAGTATTGGCCAAACTAAATATATTGCAGTATTGCTACTTGAAGACTAAAAAGATGCTGTTTTTCCTTCCTTTGTTTTGTTTGATCTTCACCAACAATATTCAACTCTTTCTTCTGTTCAGGATACGGCAGGCAGTGAGCGCTATGAGGCAATGAGTAGAATCTACTACAGGGGAGCTAGGGCTGCGATTGTTTGCTATGATTTGACTGACAAGTCTAGCTTTGATCGGGCGAGGTTCTGGATTGGAGAGTTGCAGAAACATGAAGAGGTCAGTCACAGATCTTTGACTTAAGACGAGTTCTCACTATGCTGCTAGGGTCTTTGTTTTTATCTGTCCTCAGAGAAATTTGCGCGTGCAACCCGCAACTTGCCCTCGCAACTTATTCCCTCAGCACAATTTGCGCAACTTTTGCCATTTTCGTGAGTTCCCAAATTTTAGCCAACTTTACGCAAAAAATAGAAAAATTATATAATTTTGGTCAAAGTAACCGCAACTTTCTTCCACAACTAACAATAATGACGCCAAGGGAGACAGTTCGTACATGAAATAGATCTACCACTTCCTTTGCACTAGATCTACAGGGTGCCCACCTAGTGCCCCTTATTGCGGATGGGGTCAGGTCGGGTCGGGATGATCGCTCGACTCGTTGCCTGAAGTGAAAACCACGCGTTTAATTTTGAGGCAAATCGGACGCGATCGATTTGTGCCAAGATAGCCACTTTGCGCCATCGATCTGGCAAGCAAACCAACCCGACCCCTCTATAGTCCTGTTTAGACTGAATCATCTTCTACTTTTAGGTAAATCTAGATCTAGAGTAAATCAATCGTAAACACGATCGTCTGATTACTCCAGAGTAAGGTGAAAAAATACCAAGGAAAATAATTTATGACGACATAATTTTTCTTTTAAATGACAAAAAAAGAGTAACTACTATTCACTTAGAGTAGAACGGTAAGCACGGCATTGTGGCGATAGTAGGTCCTCAAGCAGCAAGAACGAATATGCCATCTCGTACTTTATACACTGGTAGATATCTAGGCAATATGACATGTAGATCTAGTCTTGTTTTGATTACACCAATGTGGTTAAAGTGGGAAAATGGCACTGTAAGTTTTTCCGGAAAAGTTCCGCTTGTACTGTTTACTTAATGTCATATGTGTGTATGCATGTTTTTCATGAATACTATTATGTAAAAGTAAAGCGCATAGAACAATGATTGTAACACAGATTTGAAAAATATAAATGTCATATTATTATTAAAAGATAAGCGAATAATATAATACTACGGGATGGGGGGGGGGGGGGGGTAGAGAGAGGAGGAAAATTTAAGAAAAGTGTAAAAGGGGGGGGAAGGGGAGCAAAAAGTCCCCAAAAAGGTGTAAGATTATATTTGAATATCCCCAAACCACGCTGGTCACACCTGCCCAATGTCAGCGAGAGTTTAAAGACCTGATGAAACTCATGTTGGTTACTTTGATTGCAATGAGCATGCCAACAATTTTATGTATTCCAATAGTTTCATGACAATTTTAGCTATATACGTCTTGCAACTTTTGTTCATTTTTCTTGCAATTTTTTTTATTTTCAAATGCAGCTTTCTCTGAGGACAGTTTTATAAAGAACAAGGCTCTTGAAAAATTAGTAATAAAGTGCTTGCTTCTGTTGCTGTTTATTGTCCTGTGGTGAACTTTTAAGATATCTGTCATTATCCAATCAAATTATCCAGATGGTCTATTTGTTGTGAGATGTTGAAACCGGGGGTTTATATTCTTCAGTATAGCTGCAATATTTTTTCAAAGCTTACAAACAGATGCAGTAAAGGGCTAAGATCAACTTTCATACATTTAACCCTTCATACAATAAGTCATCTTCAAACTCGTTAAGGACGGATTAAGTCTACAGTATTTCTTGTGATTTTTCTTGTCAGAATTGCCAGATTTACCTTTGCGGCACAAAATATGACCTTGTGGAAGCAGAACCAGCATTGCGTAAAATAGATGAGCGTGAGACGAGAGCACTTGCGATAGGTAAGTAATGTCTGTAAACAATAAAATATAATCAGGCAGATCACTGACTGGTGCTGTTCTTGGTAATCAACAATCTTTGTAATTTTGTTCTGTCCTTGTGGGATTTTTGTGGGTGCTCTGGTGGGATTTGCTCCTTCTTTCCTGTCAAACGTCTATCGTCCTTATCTCTCATCCTTCTTTTTTGTGTCTGTTTCTCTTTTGTCACGTCTAATCTTCAGCACTTGTATGGCCTAATTGTGTTGCAAGAGTCTTAAAAGTGGGTGGTTGGCGGGTGCTCTGGTGTGGTTTGCTCCTTCTTTCCTATCAAAATCTATCGTCCTGATCTCTCCTCCTTTTTTGTGTTTGTTACTCTCTTGGAACACCTCTAGTGTTCGGCACTTATGTGACTTTATTGTGTTGCAAGTGCCGTAAAATTCTTACTAGAACTAAAAAGAGAGTCATAAAACGCTTACTAATTAAACAAAAACAAAGTGGTAGGTCCTTTTTCTACATAATGTGCTGAGTTTCCGCAGGTGTGAAAATTGATTGGTGTCTGTAGTGTTACGGTTAAGCTCTTTGTTGTTGCAGGGAGAGGACATGGATTTGATTCCCATGTGGTGAAACTATTTTTATTTTTATATGTGAGTATCTCTGCCAGGATGCTGTATTTGACACTGCCAAGTTTGACCTAGACAAGTAGAGGTAAAGCAGTTCACTTCCCAAATCCTTCAGATCATGTCAGTCAGGGCCTAGAACATTTACATCAATCTGTAATGTACTGACTCATGATGAGATATGTGGGAAATTGTGCTGATTTGACTTAATAGTGAAATGTTGTAGGGTCTGCATTCTTGTTGTTCTGCTTTAAAATTTAAAAGTATAAAATGTCCATAGACTTGCAATGAGATGTTGATTTAAAGGAATTGCGTTTGTGCAATGTGCAATCATAATAGGTTTCATAAGTATGAATTAATTGTTAGTTTTGTCTTGTATTGAAAATCTGATAAAATGTAATTCAGTATGTAATGACAACTGGTTTTGGTCTTAATAATTGCAATAAGTCCCGCTACCTTCAAGGCCTTCAAGCTGTGACGTTAGTGTAGAAGTGGATGATAAGAGGTGATACTTGTAGGTCCTCTGCCCACCTTCTTTATCTCAGCACTCAATGGGTTTTTATCATCATGTTGACATACTTCTATTTTAACTTGAAATGACTCAACTCTTACAAGTCGTAGACCTTTTCTCTTTCGTATTGCAGCAATTTTAGTTCAGAATTTTCATACATCAGCATTTTCATCTTGAAAAAGACAGGTTTCAAGCTATAAGCTTGTATTACTCACCATTGAGTTAAAGAAAGAAAAAAAAAAATTTGATTTATTATGAGGATGCAGTAAGTAACTTGTAGTACAGGCTAGCAGATATTTATGATAACTTAAAAAAAAAAAACAACAACAACAATGCAGCGTCTAGTCAGTAGACATGCCGACTTATAAGAGTTAAAGTAAGAAAATTATTTTCATTGTGTTATGACTGCCTTGTTTGTGTATAGTTTGAGGCTTTTTCACCCAACACATTGAAGTGAAATTTTGGTATGATTTTACTTTAAGGAATATACATTTCCACATTTGTGGCAGATGCAGTTCTCATTTTTTTTCTTTCGATTTGATGAAAACTCAAAAAGTGTACTAATTTTACAAATTTGTTGTAGTGTTACTGTAATTCAATACACTATAGATCCTTAACAACAGTTCTGTAGATCAAATGCCCTCACCAGTATATTTTGCTTTGTTCGTGTTACAGATGTACGAGGAGAAGTGTATGAGACCTCTAGCAAAACTGGAAAAGATATAGGTGAGTGTGACTTCATCTTTTAGTTTAAAAAAATCCACAGCTGTTCACAGTCCGGTGATTGTTACCCATCTGCTGTCAATAGGTTGTAGTTTACATGAAATTATGACAAGCAAAATAGATATCAATAACAGAGGCCAGAGTTTTAAACTTGACAGCTTTTATACACTTGTTCTTTTTCATTTTTCTTTTTTTTAAAGAAAATTATTTTCCTCTTGACATTCATTGGATTTATTACTTTACAGAGAGAATATTCCGCAAAATTGCCACAGACTACCTGGCTACAAAGAAGGAACCAATGACAGAGGGTAAGACAGTCCATTTTTGTTTTCTATTCTTTAATCGTCTAATATAGTCGGAGACCTGGGAAGAATCATAAGGATCCATAAAGTATCGAAGCTTACCGTGTTGTTGTCATTATCAATCCAGCAACAGCTGGGCCCTCGCCCCTCGCCCTTCTGTCTAATGCCGTGCAGTGATAAGTGCAGGTTTGCTGCTGTTGCTGTAATGTAACTAAGCTGATCCCGATCGTAGCTGTGGGACGTGATTCGAACCCTTCATGCAGTGCTATCGCGCACAGAGGGTACAGACTGATTTACGGGGGGTGGTACCACCATACCCTCTTTGAGCTTCAATTTAGATATGAAGATGGCGTAGAGTTTTCAAACTTAGCGAGCCATCAGAGAAGAGATCAAATTACAAATCTCAAGTTGTTTGGCTCTATTCAACACAAAACTCGCGGGTTACCACTTCTTAAAGCCGAGAAGGTTTTTTAAGCGTCTGGAGTAGTAAGGAGATTTTGAAACCGCTTAAGGTGTATAACGTACAAGTAGACTTCAATTTTCTTGTATAGTCCATATTTACATGTGCTGTTTAGTAAGAGTTTTACAGCACCTACAACTATATACGGTCATATGAGTGCGTGAAACACAAGTTGGTTGCATTCACATCAAGTCACAGTGTGGCTCAATTTTGTTCAATGATTAGGTCAAAAGTTTTTAAAATTTCACAATAAAAGTTTCAGTTGTACAAACAACACATTCTATTATATTTTAGATAACAATATCTACACCTTTGAGTAAAGGCCAATGGCCTTTATAAAATCAAGGATTCTGTGTGGATCAACGGACAAGAACAGATCTCTTAAATTTCTATATATTTAAAATATTTCCTTCAGGTCTCTCCAAAATAAAGACATTCTGTTAGTATGTGTCTAATGGTGAAATTGCTATAACTTCCAACTCAGAAGGGTTTCTCCTCTCCTTGCAGGAAGTATTGATGGGTCAGGGAAGTATGTCCAATATGTAATTGAGTAAAAATAATTTTGTCTCTTCTGGAGAGATCTAAATTTTCTGGTGGGAACAATCAACATACCTAGGAGTCAAATTTGACCAATGTCTAACCATGAAAAGCCAAGTGGAGAACATAAAGACCAAGGTCAAAAAGACCCCAACTTTTAAAGAAACTCGCAAGCAGTTCATGGGGATCAGACAAACAAACTCTGAGAGCTCTATACCTTGGTTATGTCCGTTCTTCCCTGGAATACAGCAATAGCCTACTCACTATGTGCAGTACAACTAATTGCAACACCCTTGACAAGGTCCAAAACAATGCCCTTCGTTTCATAAATGGTGGCATGAGATCCATACCTACAGCTGCATGTGAAATCCTTTCAAATGTTGAACCCCTGGGAATCTGCAGAGATAAAGCAGTTTTGGAGCTACATGAAAGAACCAAAAGAATGTGCCCCAACCACCCAAACAGGAAATTAGTAGAAACATGGAGACTAAAGAAACAAATTCAACAACACTCAATCATGCATCACATCGCAGAACTAATAGAGAGTCGCCATCTACCACAAAACAGAAAAGAAACCTAAAGAGTCAACCAAAACATCCCTCCCCACCTTTCTTTAAAAAAAGCCAATCATTACATCTCTAAGAGACAATAGCACAAAATCTTCAGACCCAGTGAAGCTGATGCTTGCATCACATCAAGCAATCGACAGCTATTCCGATGACTGGAAAAACGTCTATACAGACAGCTCAGCATTCAAAGGCACAACCAAAGCCGGATATGGAATACTAATACTGTACCCAGATGGAAGTTCCAGTGTGATCTCTGCAGCCTGTGGAGAGAAATGCAGCAACTATGATGCAGAAATGATGGCAATTGAAACAGCACTGTACCATCTCCGTACAGTTTTTGACACTCATCCTGGAAAAGCACAGAGTATTGTGATTTTCACCGACTCACTATCAGTGTTACAAGCAATAGAAAATGACCATCAACTAAGCCAAGATTTGACACATACACTGTTTGGCTCCCATCATCTGACAACATTATGTGGCATCAACCTAGTAATGCAGTGGGTCCCCAGACACTCAAACATACTTGGAAATGACAGAACAGACACACTTGCCAAACGGGGATCTAGACAGGAACAACCCGACATTCCAACTTCCTACAACACTGCAAAACAAGTCCTATAAAGCAGCAACAAACAAGATTGGATGAACAGATGGACCCTGGGAAAGACAGGCAGAGAATAAATCCAGAACTTCCCCCAATGTGTCCCTTGTGTGACTGTACATATGAGACTGGATCATCATCTGTTCCTCTACACAGCCCTAAATAACATCAGAGCTACCCTTCTCCCTCCGAGACCTAACATTGACAACTCTATGGAACATTACAGCAACTGCAGCAAACCTTCACTTCACTTATCACTACATGGCATTGAACAGAAGGGCGAGAGCCCCAGCTTTTGCTGGATCAATAACAACAACTGAATTTTTTTGTGGGACCAGTTTGGGTATAACACTGTGAAGCTTGTTATTTTGATGTTCACTCCAGTGCTTCTCCCACAGCCTGGGGGTATTGTTTTTCATCTTATTTTTTAAGTCTGTCTGTGGGAGGGTGTTCTTCGCTGGTCCCAACTGAAGGGACAAGGATTCCTTCACCAATTCCATTCAAATTTGATTCAAAGTAAGCATCATTTCTAAATAGGGACCTTCTACGCTGCTTTCTTTGCCAACTGTGGGGGAACTTCTGGTACTGATCACGGTGCACCGGCAGTGGAATTTTAGTTGCAGCGGGGGGTTCCCCGCCGAGCGCCTTATCACGTCGGGGTCACAGGGTTCCGCTCACAGCTTTATGGTAATTATCATTTAATGCACCCAAAGCACGCATTTCTGTTCCTAAGGCTAAAAAAAGAATGGACACTGTAACTTGTCTGGTTATTTCGTTAGGCGCACTGAAGTCGGCAATGCTAAATTGCATTAATTTTTAGACAAGTGTGAATGAAAAAAAATCTGTATGAAAAAAAAACAGCATGACAAAACTGTCAAACTTTTGGAACATGAACGACATAACATTGGTGAAGGTACAGATACTCAGAAAAGATGGTTTCAACGCATATAATAGAAAGCTGTAATTTTGCAACTTTGTCCGTCTGGCACACAATTCGCTATGAAGTAATTTCTCCAAATATAAATTTATGTGTCTAATATAATCGTAAATATTAGCATATTTTTTCTAAAGTTTATAAAAATTACCCTGTAGTCTCTCTATGAAGTTTACAAATAGATTTTAGTGCCTGAATACATCTACAATGCAATGCACGAACAGTACCTGTTACACTCCAGTTACTTTTAACCAAGCTCATTTTTTTTTCAGCAGTCTCCAAAAAAAAGAATACCAATATTATTTAGAATAAAGTGTCCTTTCCTTCTAAAATGTCAAGTTCTTGCGATCTCATGGTCAATATTGTAGAGAACATCACTCTCAGGTGCCGTTGCTAACGACTGACACAGCATTGGAGGGAAAATAAAATGAGTAGTTACGTTTTATCAAGGGCTGTTGCTTCGTGGAAACAATCACCCCTGGTTTGATGTAAGCGCATATTTAAATGGGGGGGACGTGTTCAGCTCCATTTTCATTTATAAATTTGCCCCTGATTGAAGACTTGTTTCGCGGTTTGTTTTTTCTCTTTACTTTAAAGTTCTTACGTCGCATTTTAAAGGAGAATTTTGCTGGAGTCCATCACAAACAATAATCAATTTGAAACTCGTTTATTTGACTTCATTTGTTATAATTTTGAATTCATATGTCCTTTTTTCGCAGAGGTGTGTATGACAGTTGCAGGAATTGTTTTTCTTCTTGTAAAAGTGGCACAAACATACTTTTTTTTTTTCAATATGCAGTACACACAGACCTTCAACTTCAGTTACACAACACCATTTATTTTGTGAAAGAACAAAGATGAGTCTTTATTTTAATGCATTAAGCATAGCAGTCCACGCAGATATTAGAAGATACTTGTTTGACAAAAACACATGAAATAAAAGCAAAATCAGTGACTTCACACTCCTGCCCTGCCAGTTTGGACTACGTAATGTTAGTGACAGTGGTGAAATAAGCAGTCCTTCTTCGAACTGGTTTGATTCTAGAGAGATTGTTTAATAAAGATGTTTTATAAATTGTTCAAATGTGTGTGTGTGTGGGGGGGGGGGGGGGTGAATAATGATTCTCAAGCAGTATTTTCACCCTGATTTTACTTTCTCTGTCACAGAAAATCCTGACTTGGTCCGGCTGAGGAAAGCATCGAAATCAAAGAAATTGTGTGCTGGCTGTAAAAGCTGATATGCTGTTTAAAGGGGTTCATGTTGGTGTTTTGAACTGGAAAGTCCCTGGTAATTCTGTTTATTTTAAACCTTTTCTCGATGCTGGACTCTAGGATCATAAGGGAATTTGTTATTGGAATGGAGTATTTTTTGTTACTTGCAAGTATTTTTTGTGGAGGAGCAATTCAAATTGTCCAAAGTTTTCTGAACATTTCACTCAGAGCCTTTGGGAAACATTTGTAGAAGTGCATATTCATAGGTCTATTTCACTTCAGTAGGTGTGCCTTATTTCGCAAGTTTAAAAAAAAAGCTTCTTGCAATCCTGTATAGCTTTTGCTAATGAGTGTGGGACTCAACTATTGCTGTCATATATCTTTTGCTTTGTTTAAAATGTCGAGTAAGTTTGAAATATTATTTATCCTTAGGTTAGCATGCATTGCACAGTATTACAGTTTCATTCTGCAAAGAAGTTTTTGTACATCAGATAAAGAGGCTTGTATGTGTATCAAGTAGCTTGAACCCAGGACTATGTTACTCAAAGAAAATTGAGGGTAATCATTTGTTTTTATTATTGTCTTCTTTGAAAAAGGTTCAGTACATACATTTGATGATGTGTTAATGAAAAAATAGTGTAAAGATAGAAAGGGAATTTTGTCAGATACTAGAGAAATTTCCATCAATTGCTCCCCATGATAAATATGTTCAAAGTATTTTCAACTTCTCTTTCTGTGCCAGCATATCATATATATTGAATATCCGTATTTATAATAGATAACAGACAATGCAGGGTATATATACTCAGCATGTGTACCTATACATACATGTACAATGTTTGTCTTTGTCTCAAACGACGTTACGTCAGTGTGGTAGGAACGTTATCCGGCTTTGGCCAGAAAGAAAAGGCAAAGAGCCAAAAGACTGAGTGTGATCACGTGACATCTGGTAAGCCCTGGAGTTTGAGTAACATTGTTGATGTGACAGTTAAGAAGGGCACAAACAATACCATCGAACCTGCCTGTCTTGAAAAGAGATTTTCTGCTTGCATTTATATTTTCATCCCTCTCTATCGTAATCAGGCCTCCTAGTTTTTAAAGGCATGTACAGTATTGGTTCATTATGCAGTTTCTGTCTTAGAATTCTTTTTGTAGTTTCTTTTGTAACTCATTCAGTTAGTGAAGTTTAAGTATCATTATTTTTGTGTGTAAGCTGGTGTGTGTGTGTCATGTATGGGTGGGTGTGCACATATGGAGTACTTGATTGAAGCTAGGGTTTTTCTTATGTGAACGTGTGTGTGCATGTATGTATGTGTGGTTGTCTACAAAGGGGAAATGGATATTTTGTCTTTGGGCTGTGAAAATGTTCTCTATTGGTTGAAAAATGTCTACTCTTATAATGTTTATAAATATTATCTGTGATTCTCTCTAAACAGGTTTTCATGTAAAAGAGAAGCTGTCATTTTTTTTCTCTTGATTTGTCTATGGCTCTCCTATAGTTTTTCTTTTTAATTTATGATAATAATAATAATACTATATTAGATTTCATTTATATCACACATTTTACAGTACTAGAAAATTGACTGTTTGCGTTTTACAATTTATTGTTCATTCTAGCTGGTCTTATTAGACAAGATTTATTGAGTTTTATCCTGGTTGTTGCGTTTGTTGATAATAAGACTTATTTATGCAACAGTTTCTTACAGACATTGTGGATAATATTATTTCTTCCCTTTGTTGTGGAGAGAATTAAAATTTTATGAACAGTGATTTCCTGTAACGTCAGGGATGTACAGCCTATCTTCTGTGGTGCAATGGTCAAGCTCTTTACTGTTTCATGCTTAAGAGGTTGGGTAAAGTCACAGGTGAGGCAGCTTGCTTTATGGAGTACCTTCGTCTTTCTGCACGGATGTTATATCCCACTCAACTTGGGTTGGCCCTGATTGGTAGAGTTGAAGCAGCCTGCCTCCTAAATTGTAATGGTGGAGATGTCAACTTAATAAAGGGATGGACTTCCTCATAATCATATTCTTGAATTTATGGAAGGGGGGGGGGGGGAATTGCCCAGTGAGCTTTTGTTCTATTTCTGTTCCCTCTCATAGACACTGTTTTGTTCCTGTCTAGTTGTCCCACAAGCTCCACAGTTTTTTTTTACGAGTTAGTTTTTGTCATGGGATCTTGTTTCCAACCTGACTTAGGACAGGTCAGACTGGAAACCGTCAAAAGCAAAAACTACCAGATATGCAGGTAGGCCTACAGTGGAATTTCTTTAACATGAAGCCGTTTAACTTGGAATCCCTATTCCCATCAAGAGATTTAAAATTCTTTTTGTTTTATTTTTCCCCCTTTATTCTTAGCATTATAATTTCCTTTAACACAAAATCTGCGGAGAAATCTCTGTTCCTGTGAAATTTGTGTTATCAGGGTTTTACTGTATTGTCAGTGCAGTTTGCGGGATTTTTCAAGGTCATCGATGCTCACCAGCAGTAAAATTTCATCCAAGAACAAGCTAGTGTGTGGAATGGAATTGCCTTTGGGATGTGTCTAAGAAGATGCGGTGTGATACATTGCTTGTAATCTACTGCTGGGTCATTCTCTCTCTCTCTCTCCCTTCTCCCTCCCTCTCTCTCTCTCTCTCTTTCTCTCCAGTATAATACTAATTAATACGTTTGTTTGGCCATATTTTATTACTTTATTTCATCATGGATTTTTCTGCAGAGGACTGCAACCGGTGATAAGTCTCAGGGCCTCTTACAAAACTTACTTCTTTGTCCTCGTCTTTTCGATTGAATGTCTGCCAAATATGGGGTTTCATCCTCTTGCTTTTCCCCTCTTTTTTTTCTTTTCTTCTTTTTTTTTTTTTTTTTAAAAATGTGAACCAGTTGCCATTGTTTGATGATTGTTAATCCCACCATATTTTTTGGTAATTATGTCCTTTTCTAAGACCATTTATACCGGTTATACCTTCAATCTTACATGAAGACTCTTGAGTCTGATTAGCTTTCTAGCTAAGGATGGTCTCTTAACATTGGGGTTTCGTCATAACAAGTGACACCCACTGAAAATTTCAGCATTCCTTTTGACTGAACTGGAATTTATAAAGGGATAGATATAGAAATAATGATCACTTAGTTGCTTTTGTAGTACCGTATCATTACAGTTCCTGTTTTCATAGTTGTTGTCTAATTTTTTCTGATACTTCCAATTTGATGGCTGGGTGCAAGACTTGTCAAATTGCAAAAAGGCGTTTGTCAGATTTTTGCGTCCAGCCATTAATTTGTCTCTAAACCAGAAAGTTTTTTTACTAATGCTTTTGCTTGTTATTCACATTCATCTCTACATTGTCAATTTTTGCAATTCTCTGGTCATGTTGGTTTCTATTCAGATCCACGGTTGAAATGTACATTCTGCCTTGTTAAATCAGCTTTGTAAATGTTGCCTGTTCCAGTTTGCTAATCAAGTCCAAAATTTTGATAATATATTATGATGTTCATTTTCATTGATGCTTTATATATGTACATGTGAAGTCTAATGAAGAGAGAGGAATTTGTTATATCTCTGTACTTGCGTGAATAAAACCCTACTGTGTCTTTTGATGCCAGTGTTTAAGTACTTATTCTCTATCATACCGTCTAATCAGTGTTTATTGTCAGTCGGATATGTCAATAAGAAAAACATTGTGCAACAAGTACTACATCATGTATAAAGATTGTCTAAAAAATTTGGCCTTAAATGTTCAAAGATTAATCAAGTTTATTAAAAATCACAGAAATCATTATATTGCAAGTCTTGTATTACTTGGTTGAAGGATATAAAATTTGTACTTTTTTTTTTCTTTTTACAAAATCCTGATGATCATGAAGACAAAAATTTAGGACACGGTTAAAATATACAGAGAATTGGGTTGACGTGCCAAAACGGTGCTTCAACTAAAAGGTAAACAATTCTTTTAGGGGATCTCAAAGCTGATTAGCCTCAGATGAGATTGAGAGCCAGAAAAATAAGAAGGGTACCGTTCTCACTCGATTGTCTATACTTTTAAAATCTTTCTCGGGGTACTGATTCCCTCTTCCAGTGCCTTGTTGTTCCAGTAGGGTGGTGCTATGTTGTTACCTTAGAATTACATAGTTCTATCTGCTCAGTACCTAGTTTATTGAAATTTAATTTGACTTTCACTTTCACAATATGTCAAGCTTTTTCAAATGTATTTCTTTGAATGTCTTGGTAGCCACTCCAAATAATCTTACGATTTTTTTAGAGCAGATAGATTATAGAACATGTGGTTTCTGACCTCATAGTTTTAGTAACTCAAAATGCCCAAAAATGTCAGATAGAACTTCGTAATTCTAAGGTAGCGTTTAGTTGTGTACATTAAATAAGATCTTAGAGCAGAAAGAGTTTATCAATTTCTCTGCTTGCCTCAAGAGTTGAAAGATGTAGCCTACCAAGGAGATATTACCATTGCTCAGTTATTAAAAATTGAACGAGTTTTGTCAGCTTTTGTGAGCAAGGAATGATATTGCACTCTTTAGAAATGCATTTCTTTCCCTTTTTTTGGTAGCCAACTTGAAAGAAAACCCCAATTCCTGTGGAAATATGTTATACAGTCAAAATTGTCTACGACGGCCACCCATTGTCGGAGAAAAGTGGCCATCTTACATCGTGTCATTATAATGTAAAAATAATGCGGGGGAAGTGGGGGGGGGGGATTATAATAAGTAACTATTTATTTGTACAGGTACAAGTTAGAGCAGATTCAACTGTATGTGTCTATATATATATTTATATATAGTGTATATATTTATATATATATGTGTATATATTTATACTCATATATACTCATGTATATATATATATAATATATATATATCCCACATATATGTATATTTATACACACAGTCGAAATTGTCCAAGACATCTTTACATCGTTGTGAAAAAAGGGGCTTGTGTTAGACTGGTGGACATCTTGGACAGTGTCGTAATATTCTGAAAAACATGAGGGCAGGGGGATGGGAATTGTCATTTGCACAAGTGATTGTCTTGGACAAATGGCCGTTAGAGCAACTGTGTAGCTTAGTTCTTCATAAAATGCCCCAAATGCCATGTTCGAAGTTTGATCGAAACTTGTACCATCTTATCTGGCGTGGTTTTTAAGCATTTTCGAGAATTAACTTCGTTTTGCAAAAGTGTGATTTATTCCACTTGAATGAACTGCCATAAATGACGCACTTTTTGTACAAAAGTGCTCTGCCTTTTTTGACAAATCGCAACATATCCTCAGCATGCCAGTCAAGCTCTTTTCTTGAGTCACATGTCTTCACTATAGCATAGCTATGGGAAAAAGTTTATTGGTGGTGCTTTCAGTTCTAAATTATTCAATGGCATATCATTTGGCATTCTCATATTTTTATGGGGCTTTGTGGCCTAGAGGTTAAGGTGTTCGACTCTCATTCAAAGGTCCCGAGTTCGAATCCAGGTAGCGATGGAAAAATTGTCCTCTCTAAAATTGTCTCCTTTCATCTCCTTTCCTGCTCTCTTGCAATGTTCAGTCATCTGCTTTAAATCTCCACTTTCTGCCCCCACCTCCTTTGCCCCCTCCTCTGGACTCCTTACTCTTGATGCAGCCTTTCTACTGCTACTCCTTTGCTCCTTCTTTCTGCTATCTTTCAGCCACACCCCTGATCTTCTGGTAGGAAAGATCTACACCAAGCCTTCCCGGACATGGGCGAAAAATCTAGGGGGTCCCGTGTGCAATTTGCGCTCGTTCAAGATCCCTTGGTGGTCTAAAATCTATAAGAGTAGGCTTCATCCGCCACCGGGGCAAAATTCAAAATTTCCTACCAACTGAAAATGTTTGGTGTGTCCCGCACGCTCATATGACCGTATGCAATTGCGAGCGCCATAAAACACTTGCCCCCCAAAAAACACCAAAACACCCAAACATTTTCATGTTTAAAAGTTGTCCCTCTTATTTGAATTTAAAGCAAAGAGAAGCAACTTTGTGGTTTGATGCTGATAATGTTGAGAAGTAGCTGTTTAAAAAGATACCCGAGACTAGGGGAAAAGAATTAGGGTGCTGCAGTTTTTGAGTGATACATGTACAAACAATTTTGCAATATCATCCAGTCTGGTGGTTTTGTTATCATTGTATGGTAGTTTTAGGGGTACAGGTATCGTTAAGCATTTTTAGGTCAGACCCAAACTTTCTTCTTTAAAATCAATATTATTTTTTATGATTTTTTTTCATTTGGTGAAAATGTAATGTGGATATTATGTTGTGTTGTCACGAACATAGATACAATAAACATCAGCTACGCCTTACATCATCTATGCTCTAAAAATAAAGTTGCTCAAGTTCATTCAGCAAATATTTGAAGAAAACAAAATCCCAATTTTTCTCAGAACTGGAAAAAACGGATGTTGTGAAACTGTTCATACTGTTGAGGTTGTCCAATATGGCCACCCATCGTCGAGGAAAAAAGTGGTTGTCTTAGAAAGGTAGACATCTTGAACAGTGACATCATAATATAGAATATGTGTAAGGTGTGGGCTGGGGCTGGGGGAGGGGAAGTAGGGAATGATTGTTTTTACAGGTGATTATATTGGACAGGTGGAGTATAGAGCAGGCTCGACTGTGTGTATTAAATGAATTTATTTCCTTTCCAAGAAATATGGAAGATCACCAGTACTAGATTAAAGAGTTCTGTCACTTCTTTTGGCTCTTCTTGTTTTGATTACTTGTCTTGGAGAGCCATTTCCTTTGTTTATAATATAATAATATATATACAGATCTATTTATATATTATATTTCTGAATAAAACTGCCAAAATGCTTCTGCTGAAACACTTTGTCGTCATTGTTGAAACTGTTCTTTATATTTATAGTGCAGTATCTCTAGTTACATCTTTTGCTTTGTGATATGAATGTGCCTTACGACTTATGACTTTTTGCTTTCCCAGTGTAAAAGTTTTACACATCTGAAAACACTTGCTGAATTTGTCCTTTTTCTGTTGATCAGTGAATGGTGATGTGGCTTGCTCCTTCTACTTCTTTTCCTCTGTGTTGTCTACTTTTAATCTGTTCCTGGTGAAATGTCGCTGTCAAGTTAACTGGTAATAAACTGTATTTCACAAAATTATAGCAACAGTGTATTCTAGTTTATAAATTTCTGAAAGTGGAAAGTTTTGTGTGTAAAACTTTACTCTCGTCAACTTGTTGAAAAAGATTGTGGCTACTTCCTTACAACTTGCACCTCTATATTTTTTTAACATCGGTCATTGTCTTATTTTATTTTTTTAATTTATCATTATTTTTACTTGTGTATGTTAGTATAAATGATACAGTAGGCCTAGTGGTTGGTTGGAGGGCATTACTTTTAGTTGCTGTGGGTGGTTGGCAGGTGCTCTGGTGCGGTTTGCTTCTTCTGTCCTATATGAAACATCTATCGTCCTTATCTTCCCTTCTTCTTTTTTATGTTTGTTACTCTCTTGTAACTTCTCTAATCTTCTGGCCCTCATATGACCGTATGCAGCTGCGAGCGCCGTAAAACCTCTACTAAAAAAAATAACTGTTAGTTGCTACATTGTACTTCCTTACATTCCCTCTGTTGTTTCTGTCCGTCTGTTTTACTTTTTTCCAGCTCTAAATGACCATTATCATGTCGATGTGCTTCTCTTTACTCAACAACAACAACAACAAAAAGAACTGTTGGCCTAACCAGCGCCTTTGGTTGCTTGGGTGCTCTTATATTGCATGCAGAAGACATGAGTTTGATTCTCCTGTAGTGGGTGGTTGGCGGGTGCTCTGGTGTGGTTTGCTCCTTCTTTCCTATGAAACATCTATCGTCGTTATCCCCCCTTCTTCTTTGTTATGTTTGTTACTCTCTTGTAACACCTCTAATCTTCTGGCGCTCATATGACCTTATGCAGTTGCGAGCGCCGAAAAACCTCTACAAAAAAAACCCTCTAATCTTCGGCACTTATATGACCTTATTGTGTTGCAAAAGCCGTAAAACTCTTACTAACACTAAAACGATTCTCCTGTAGTGTAGGGGGCATTGGTGTCGAGCGCCATGGTTTTTCTGCTGAGACATTGTATCCCTCTCAGACCAGGCTTCTCATATAACAGCCAGGGCTGAACCCCACCTCCTAAGTGGTCTAAATCGTGTTATTGTGGCTGTAAAATGCCTGTATTTAAAAGAAATAACAAGAATAAACCCAGTAGGCATTTAGTTTCCTGTTTAGGTATGCATTTCACAAAATCTTCATTTTAGCTGGGGGTGGTTGGCAGGTGCTCTGGTGCGGTTTGCTCCTTTCCTATCAAGCATCTATCGTCCTTATCGCTCCTCCTTTTTTGTGCGTTTGTTACTCTCTTGTAACACCTTTGATTATTAAGAGTAACAATTATCAATTATGTGGCTGGGCAACTCAAATATCTTTGCGTTGCTTTTTGTAGTATGTGTTTTAGCATTTTTCTCTCATTAGACTCTACTGTAACAAGCACAAGAAGCATTCAGACATCTACATGGAACACGCTTTCATCCTAATAAATCTATTATTAGTGGTAGATCAGATTTAGCTTACATACAAATATGATA